AATTCACGATGAAAATAAAGCCGCATATGAAATTTTGCCAATTCCAACATCCAACAAATAATTCACAACCAAAAGAATTCGCCAATCATGAGAACGTTAATTCATGTAAGCAAATAATTATATGAAGAATCCAAATTCGGTAATTCAATAATCAGCAAGGCAACATGCTTGAAAAGCAAATAATTCAATGACAATCCAATTATTTAATACATGTTCAGAAAGAGAATACTCTTGCGGCAATTTCCATTATATTTGTGCCAATAATTTCAACAGAATGAGTTTAACATTCACATGAAAAGAATGAACAACATAATGTCATATAACTTTGATTACAATTATTTCAATCAATCCGTAAGATGACCGCAACAATGAATCAACAAAATAATTAAGCATAAATAAATGCATCGGTATTCGTACGAACATAAAAAAAAAAGCAACCAAAATTTTAATCCCAGATTTCATAAGCAGCAATTCGTACGACAATAAACAATTTGGAAGACAAAATAAAACAATTGTAATAAGCAGCAATTGAAGCAATTCATAAGCAACAATTCGTACGGCAATAAACAATTTAGAAAAAAAAACAGCAACCCAAAATTTTAATGAGAATTAATTCCAAAATTGTTGGGCAATATACAATTGCAACTTCCCAGAAATTCACGGGCAAAATGAAAGATAATGCCAAATTATGTTGAAGTTGTTTAATCACCATTAAAACAATTTTAATGATAAATTAAAACAAGATAAGGCATCACCAGATTCCAAATTACATGCTTTGTGAGCAGGTTTTCTTTCGGAACAAGAAATTCAATATCCAAAATTGTGCGTGTAGTTACCTTGCGGACTTAAAAGGAATTCCAAATCCTTTTCTTAACTCTAGTTTAATTAACATCAAACAATTTTAATTAAACTTAAACATAATCAACAGATATGATCCATAAAAATCCAATTCAAAATCAAATAGCTATGAAACCTAGAAGATTGGATGTACCTTGCGGGAAAGACAAATTCTTTCCTAGGGCAAACACCAATAGGGTAAACACCAAAATTGTAGATTAGAGCGTGCTGATAACGTGTTATAAATTGGAACTCTTAATCTTCAACAAGCATCCATCAATCCAAGCATAAAAGAGGTGTAGTAAAGAACAAGAAAAGAGAAGCAGAAAAGTCTATCTTTTATTCATCGGTATTCACTCTTTTATAGAGTTTACAATAGAGAAACCTTAAAACTTGGGCCTAATTCAGTTGTGTTTACGTGAGCTTTGGACTGTTATAAATATATTAATATGGACATTACTAATATATAATTGGGCCTGAAGTCCATTAGTTAGTAGGATTAAGTTTTAGGGTTTCTCTATTGTAAACTCTATAAAAGAGTGAATACCGATGAATAAAAGGTAGACTTTTCTGCTTCTCTTTTCTTGTTCTTTACTACACCTCTTTTATGCTTGGATTGATGGATGCTTGTTGAAGATTAAGAGTTCCAATTTATAACACACTTCATGATATATAAGGCCATCTCTAATCGAACACACCAAACTCAAACCCATTTTGCAGTACACATCCTATTTTGCAGTAATTCATCTTCAACTGAAAAACCTATTTTCCAACCCAAAAGAATATTCTCGGAATATTCTCTTTTACATCAACTTTCACAACTTTTCAATACTACCCACATATTTTACAACTTTACAAATTAAACCACACTATTATATTCAAATTAGTGGTTTCTTTTATTGTTTAATAAAAATACCATAAATAATATGTATATTTTGCATTATTATTGTGAAATATATAAAATTAAATGATAAATATAATATTTATCATTTTAAATATTATACTATTTAATTTTTATGAAATAATTTATGTTACTATTTTACGTTATTGTGAAAAAAATTAATATTAATATGTATAATTAGTTTATTATGAACAAATATAAAATAATATCATATTAATTATTTTAAATATCATATTTATAATTTTCACGAAATTAAAAAAAAAATTATATTATTTAAACTTAATTTTCAATTTAAAAGATTGTTTAAATAAAATCAAAAAAACAAAAATCAATTTATAAATTAAACAAATTTAAAGGACCTAAATGTAAAAAAAAAAAAAATGAAACGCAAAATTTGCGTTAAGACGCAAAAATGCGTCAATCTGAGGAGAGAGAGGGTTGGGATCGCGATCAGTTTTTGGGATCAGTTGGAGCTCCCCGTACTGCAATTTTTGCGTTTTGCAGTACGGTTGGAGAAGGTCTAATAGGTCAATGACTAAATTATATTAATTAATTTTGACGTACCTTTCATGGCAACAGTTCATGTATGTATGTTTTCAGACCTTTTTTATTCATGTAAGTATTTTTTCGACCTTTTTTTTTATGATAAAATGTGTAACTAAAATTAGTTTTTCAGGTATTTCATATTTGTTCTATTTTTTTTTTT